CGCACCAACACTTTGTGTTCGTGTAAATTTTTGTTAACGCACACACACTCGATGTCAGTGTAAACCATAAAAATTGATACATACATTTGGTGTATAAATGAAGTACAAATTTTAGGGTATTAGTAGCATGGTAGCACCCTCAATCTTCAATTTCTATCTTTGGCAGGTCTATACTCTAATATACATCCAATCGTGCGCACATAAACAACACCCATTTACAGGTGGAATCCGAAAACACATTTATACGACTTATTAGTCCACTTTGTTTTGCCCCTTCTTAGCAAGATCGGACAAACCCACAAATGTGAATGCAACCATTTTGAATAATAATAATAATAATAATAATAATAATAATAATAATAATAATAATAATAATAATAATAATAATAATAATGAGTTTGGATGCAAACTATATACTCCCTATTTGATTATATATATTTCTTTTAATTTGATCTAATAATGGTAGTTACCGAAAATGATTTAGTTATTTTTGTAAAGGTTGCTCAACCAAAAATTCAAATTTATAGTTGTGGCCCGGTTAATGCTTCTTATATTCTAACACGCTCGCCGCGGTGCCGCCTCAAGTGCAGACGTAGTCTTTTTCCAATCTTGCACGTAAACCTTAATTTTTTAAAAAAAAATTGGTGACGCTGAGTTTCGAATTTGTGGCTTAGCTTCTTAGTCACGAAGACTCCGATATAATGTCAAAGAACCAATTCAACCAAAAGCTCAAGCTTATGGTTGTGGCTCAAGAAATATTTTATATATTACAATAGTATTTGACCAACATTTTTTAGTTTTCAAACACCTTTTTTTTATTTTTGAGACACCTTTAGTTTTAGGTTATATTGGCCAGGATACCTTGTACTCTATGTTTAAACGTACTTCTATTTAAAATCAAACATATTTTCACCTCAAAATACTTCCTCCGTCCCTAAATAGATTACAATTTTTTTCTCTCTCCTCCCGGTAACTTTTGTTTGTTTGCGCGATTTTATTAAGTACTACCTCCGTCCCATTTTATAACGTCTGTTTCGGTTTACGATGTTTGACTGAAATTATTTTCAAATCATTTTATATGACAAATGGTATAAAATTAAAAAATAAAAATTACATTTTAAAAAATTACATCAAAAGATCTACAAAACTAGTAGTGACAATAATATTTTATTTTATCAAATTGCTAACGAAAATAGAGAAAGAAAGTGAATGAAGTTTGACCCTGTGAATAGTAAACATGCATTATAATTTGGAACGGAGGGAGTGTTTGATAAAATAAAATATTCTTCTCACCTTTTGTTTTGTAGAACTTTTGACGTAGTATTTTAATATGTAATTTTTATATCTTATTGATATACCAATTTATAAATAAAATGATTTCAAAAAGTAGAAAACTTTCCTTCGTAACCTGCAATTTGTAATCAAATTGGGGACGGAGGGAGTATATGTTTTTCTTGAATTATTTTTCATGCACGTTAAAAATGTTTCGACCTGATTAGATTGATGTTAAAAATTTAAGACTAAAGTGCCCATTACCCAAAGTTTTTGGACTGATTTGAGGAGATTAAAGGACAAAGACAAGTTATTGAACACTGTTCAATGTCATGTGCAACTCATTCGAATGTGTACAATGGACAATTGCTATTTTAATTTGAGAATACCTGTCCACCTTTTCTTCTGCTCCCTCCGTTCCAATTTATTTGCAACACTTTGAACGATGTGCAAAATATTATCTCTTTTAAAAATCACTCTAATTTTAAATTGGTAGAGTAATAAAAAATAAAAATTACACCATTCAAAAGTATATGAAAAGCTCTACAAAACAAGATGCGACAAGAATATTTTATTTTATCAAATGGTCAACCAAAACGAGTAAACATACAAAAGTTATCGAGAGGCCAGAATAGTAAACGTGACATTTTTTATGGGACGGAGGGAGTAAAAACTAAGGACCGCTTTTGGATGATTGATATAATATGAATTTTAAAATTTTAAAGAAAATATACGAGTTTTGAAGTTTGAACGTGTTTATAGAAAATTTGAAGTGATTATGTTGTTAGTGATGATAGCTGTGTGGGGATGACCGGCGATGGAGCTGAGGGTGGTCGACGGCGAGTGAATGGCGGCGATGGCAGGGATGACCGGCGGTGGAGGGAATATCAAATTCTAAATTGATATTTCTCAGATCGGGAGATCCAGAAGTCCAATGAGGATATATGGTTCATAGTCTTTCTCCATTATTATAAACAAATTTCAACCACCACTTTTTCTTCTTTTTTTTTTTTTTGAAGGAAACTTTTTCTTCTTTTATAAACACCTTTTTTAGAATTTTGTGAAGTCAAAGTATGACGACTATCTGGAGTAGTTGACATTTCTTTTGATATAAACTTTAAGAAAAATAAAATTGCGTTGTCAAACATGATACAGATGAGAGAGGAATATTCTAGGCCACAAAAATTAAATCTTTCCAAAATTAAGTTGAAAGAGGACTTTTTTTGGGAAAGTCCCAAAAAAATGAGAACAGTGAGAGTAATTGTGTTTGCAAAATAATTAGATTTATTTTTATTGTTAGGGCCCTTGCTACCAAACTCGAAACCAACTCAATTCCAAATGGGATCAAATCAACCCTAAAATCCAAAAGTTTCTCAGAGTTTACGAGGAATGATCTTGGTCCTAGAAGAGCGGGATGAACGTGTTGATGTTCTGCGGCATGCCACCGCCCGGTATCAAGATGACGGACACCAAGGCAAGGTCCTCATCGATCTTTGGAGAATTTTAAGCCGTTCGCCGAAATGGCAACAACTCAACAACCTTGAGGCCGGATCGTCAAAGAAAGGATCCTCCGCCGAGGTTGAGACCGATGACGCTATCTGCTCTTCGGAACAAAGGCCTCCCTTCAACCTAGACAACTCCGATGACGAGGACCTCATTCCACAACCGATCAGAAGAAAGAAGAAAAAATCCATTTGACTCCGTGAATAGTAAACGTAAAGAATCTAGTGTGACGGAGGAAGCATAATACTTTGTGGCATCTGATACTACTTCCGCCTTCAAATCAACTTGGCACTTTGATTTTACAAAGATTAAAAATAATTGAAAATAAAAAAAATTAAGTAAAAAATGTGTGGTTGAAATGTATTTAATTGAAAAAAGATAAATGAAATTTGTAAAATGTTTTATTCTCTAAAAGACACTCTAGAAATAAAAAGTACTCTATGGAGATGGGGAAGTATAAATAATTAATGGGTAATTTACCTAAATAGGACTAAAACATAATGACTTTCTCAATATACAACCATATGTTTTTATTTCTCAATGTAGGACCATTGATCATTATCTATTAGGCATTATTGAACTAAATGTCCAGCATCACTTGGACATTGTTCTTCTCACTAGTCATTATTAAGTCCTATTTAGGGAATAAAAAAGTTTAAATCCTACATTAGAAAATGACTTATGTTTTAGTCCTATTCAGTGCAAATTTCACATAATTAAATAATGTATACACACTAGCAATAATTTCTTGTAATAATAGTGGAGCCGGTGAGGCGTAGCTCTCTGGTTGGTATAGGAGTGTTACAAAAGAGAGGCGATGAGAGGCAGTCATACAAAACATGAGACCAAACATGAGACTTCTGCAAGTATCAGACACAGAACCCCGCTCTTACACAAACTGGCTGAGATATAACTCGATTTACCTCCTCTCAACTAATTGTCCGACCGGTACTGAGGGGCCCTCGTGTCATCCTTTTTTGTTGTAATAATAGTGGAGTTTTTATTTCATAAAAAATAAATAAAACATTAGCCACAAAAAAATGCTGCCACCATTTGGTATTGTCCTACTACTTTGGTGGATAAGATAATAAAGGGATTATTCTCGACGGATTGTAAGGATTTTTAAGTACTAAAAGTCTAAAAATGTCCTTAACCCTAAAAACTGCAAAAAGAACTTACATTGAATGAATTCTAATGCAAGTTTTAACTAGTATTGGTTGGATAAAATTTCAGAATGATACCTTAAGTTTCATAAAATTTTGATTTGATGCTTGAATTTTTAAAACTTTTCACAAAAGTACTTAAATTTGTACGATCCTTTCACTAATTATTTTTTTTGCCCGTTACCAGGGCGAGATTATTAGATAAGAAATGAGACATACAATAACTCACTTAGGACATGATCTTAGATTACAATGTCTAGCAGTCAAAGATTAAAGTTTTAAGATATTCCTTTCCCGAATTAACCAACACAGTTTAACTTTACGAAGTTTAAACAAAGCGTTAAAAAATAAAAGGTAGTTAATTGGTTGAAATTTGTTCAGAATAAAGAATTGTGAGCCACGTATCTTTTTATTTTGTTTGAAAAGTAAAGAAGTACTTCATATATGAATTAACCAAGGACATCTAAAAAAAGAAAGCATATGAATTAATTCACAGTAGAAGAAATAGTTTAATTAGTGAGTATTGGACAAACTTCTATCCTTTGCATGGTCTCGAGTCAAGGTCTTCTAAAAACAAGTTCTCTATCTATTCAAAAAGAGTTAAGGCCTGCATATTCCCCATAAAAGTTCAAATTCCTTGCAATTCACAATATTTGAATAAAATTATTTTCAACAACATTTTATTTCAAAATAGATATATAGATAAAAAGGATTTAAATTTACATATTTAAAATTACAATAATAAAAGAAAATGTGACATAATTATATTATTTGATCAAAAGATCATTGAAAATAGGTGTATAAAAAAGAGACATAATTTGATTGTGTAAATAATAAACATAACAATTCTTCTGGGGCGAATGGAATAATTCACTTCTTAGATCTTCGGTTAATTACATATTCTAAAATTCAATGCACCATATTGACTTCCATCTGTTTTTTATCGGATCGAAATCTCTTTTTCTATGTTTGTGTTTGTCCGAGTGAAAAGAATGATGTGCAAAAACAAGCATAGAAACAAGCAAACGTTGAAGTCCAATCAACTTTGGGGGGGGGGGGGGTCAAGTTCCAAAACATTTCTTTGAGCCACCAACTATGAATCAACAACAAGCGCCCATAGAATAGTTTAGAGATCAATTCTATCACTTAGCAAAGTGATACATTATTAAGGCTTAATAAGTTTTGTATCATTTAAAATGAAAATCCAAACAACAATAACACACTCAAATGTGCAAGGGGCAAATGAGCATATCACCCACACAGATGCTACACATAACGCAACGTGCAAACCCCCCCCCCCCCCCCCCCCAAAAAAAAAGTGATCCTTAGCTCACTGATCTTTTCGAGCCTTGGATTTCGATGGCCTCGCTGGTTTGATGACGTTACCGAGCAGGGTCAAAGCAATAGGCACAACCGTCCCCACATAGTATACGCTGCCATATGAAGCCACAGTTTCATGGAGGCTCAATACCTGCAACACAACAAACCCAGTAAAATCCCTCAAAAAAGTAGAGTATCGAGAGGGTATGTGCACAGAGAGGGGCTGAATCCCACAAAAAAATGGAGTCTGGGGAGGGTGTGGGTACGTATACTTTTACCCCTACTCAGGAGTAGAGATGCCGAGTCCCATAAAAAGTAGGGCCTTGGGGAGGGTCTGTGGGCAAAGTTTTAAAAAAGAAAACTTGGACAAGTTAGGAACTTACCATGAAACCAACACAAGAGTAATTGAGAACCAGAACAGTGTAGGCAAAGTTAAAGAATGCTAGAATCCTCTTTACGATAGGACTGCTTATAGCTTGTTTCCATCTGTAAATCACTGTTTGTAGATCGCGGGAAAAAAATAGATGTAAGCAATCACATTGACTCAAGTTAGTAGCCACAATCTAAGAGATGAGTAAAGCTATTTACCTTTTGAACCAGAAATCATAATGGCAGATTGGACAAAGAATATAATGTACCCGGGATATAAACCCTGGAATGTTGAGGAAAGAAACCACTATTTAGACAAGACATTCGAGAATGGAGTCTTAGACTATGTTTGGTTCAAGGAATTCAGAAGGGAAAAGAAAAGGAAGGAAAAACAAATTTAGTGTTCTGTTAGAAAGGAAAATATTAAGAAATATTTTCCCTACCAATTTTCCTACTAACCAAACAAGAATAAGAATTCTGATTTCTTTGACTTTGTAGTGTTGCATTAAAAGATAGTCAAAAGTAAAAACAGATGGCGATTAAAGCAGAGAATTTATTAAGGAAACAGAAATTCAATTGAAAAACAACCAAAGAAGTTTATTGTTCCACATTGATTTGAAATGAATGCCGAAGAGATGACAATTGGAAAAAGAAAGGAAATCATTACATTGTCAAGCAGTATGGAGAAAATTTCAATACATTCCAAAAGACTAGCTGGATTCATTTGTTGAAAATTGTGTTAAAGATGAAAGGTTGCTGCAATTAATAATTCAATTGGAGTATGGGACACGGTTAGTCAAAGAGTTTATGGTAATAGATAACTTACATGCCATACTGCGCTGACCGTCTGAGTAGCCAACAACTGGAAGAAACCAGGCTTCTTTCCCTTTTGGATGAGCCTCTCATAGACATCTAGACAATTTTCATAATTAGATTAAAAAAAAGTTCCATAGCAATTTGCTGCCTATCAAAGTTCTATCTCATAGACTAAAATGGTATCAAACATTACATAGCTATCACGCCATAAGGCCCAGTGTTAAATCATGGAGAAAGAATGTTAGTTTATCTATTTTTTTTAATCCATCTAACTTCAGTAATCCTAAATAAGCATCCCCTTGGCAAGCTATTAAAATATTACATGGCACTGTGGTATCACAGATTACATGAATCAAGAGAAAAATATGCAGAAGTTGCCTAGATGCAATAAGATTCCGTAAGTGAGCATTTGCTTGCCATACATTAGTTGGTTCTTAAATATGTAATTAATAAAAACAGATTTTAGTTCGCTCCTAATTCCATGCTCAATATATAACTAACTCCACACCATCGGATAGTAGAGATCTCCCATGCAAAAGTCTACTAGAAATGAAACTTTTACCCGGCGTTGCTTATTGATTTTTCAGATGCAACTTTCAGCACCAAAATGATTTTTATAAAATTTCATCAATCTAACTAAGAAAGATATGAGAATTTAGTATGACAGCAGAATTTAACACTTCACTAATCTTCCACACAACAGGTATATATTGAAAAGACTGCACTTACAATGACGTAGCCAGGTGCTGACTTGTATGTTCCATACAAGAGGCAACTCAACTGAGCTTCTTGCCAGTTCAACACCTAATATGTCTACATTTTTTGCACGGTCCCAACGTGGTTTTGGTTTTGAAGAATCTGTCCAACCGCTGAAACCCAGACCAGAAATAATGATAGAGGCTTCTGAGATTGACCAGATAAAATAATACTTCCAACGTGCAGTAAAGCCAGACATGTACTGATAACCCAGCCGTTTCCAAAATCCCCATTCTTGGTATAATGAATCAGTAAATCTGGAAAGAGGGAAATAAGGGACCAAGTACAGATAGATTCCCATACAAAGAGCTGCTTGAAAAATAGCCCTTAATGTTGGCACAAAAGGTGAAGGATGCCCTTTCTCCGAAGGCTTCCATATCTGGACAGGTCAATGCGGGAAAATAAGTTACATATTATTTAGTGACGAGAATGCCATACAAAATGAATATATCAGAATGCTTTTCTTACTCCTTTTCTCTCCGTCCATTCAAGGTAATCTTTCATTTCATAGACTGGACCGGCAAAATGGCTTCCACAACAGAGGCAATAGCCACAGTACTCCAGCAATGATGGCCGATGGGTCAAACGATTTTTTTTCTGTGCCTCGCTTAAACCCTCTTCTTTATGCATTCCATCTTGGTAATTTATAACACACGAAATGATTTTCAGGGTAATCACCATTAAAGCACCTATCGTTTGGAAAAAGAGATTGTCAATAACAGTCTATTTTGAACTTAACACTTTAACAGTAAGTTTTTTTAGGGGACTTTAACAGTAAGTATAATTCTAAATGGAATTATAATCATATCTAAATACTACAGCACTGTTTCTAAACCGACAAGTTGAAAAATTAAATACAGTAAGGAACAAGAAACTAAGGATCAGAACACTGTATTTTTGTGATGATGTGATGATCCTCTGAATATCAAGCTTATTCCATAGCATGCAGCTTTTCCTACTGCTGAAAGCAAGTCCATGGAATATATTGATGAAGAAGTCCCACTAAAAACGGGACAAAACTGAATACAGAATATTGTTTCCTTCTTTATATAAATGGACTTATGCCGGAATTCCAAGTCAGTGTTCTATTTATAGAAAAAAAATGTAATGTACTCTTTCACAAAAAAATGTCAGTGGTGCTATTCTTTCACAAACAGACTTTTGAAGCTAGGCTTTCTTACTGGGCTTGACATGTATCTAAAATGCTGCACTATGGACACCAAATGAGTTTTCTCCCAAGTTCAATGTTTAGGTTAAGTGAAAAAATGATAGACTTTCGAGCATGCTCTTTTATATATTAATATATTTGGGGTGTTTTGGTTTGTCTTTGTTACTAGGCCGAGGTAGACTAGAAGAGAATATGGTGTACAGAAAAAAAGAAGCATATTCTCCCATTAAAAAAAGAATTAAACAATAAACAAAATAGATGCCTGAAATAATGAATCCTCTACAATCAACTCAAGGGTAATAGATAGAACGGTAGTAATCACCTGTAGCATCAATTCCACCTTCTTTCCATGCATCCCCGCTCATGTAGTATACATGGCTACACATATACACACAAAGGCAATAAAGAGCTTGAGTATTTTGAAAATAGTTGAAACCCAAATTTAACATCATGCAATCATCCAAAGGGTAAATAAACAATCCCATTGTTGTTTATTGCTGATTACTAGTGGCAAAAATGGCATATTTTTAAAAAATGCATACTTTCAAATTTTGCATTCAACTTTTAATATATCGATTATATGATTAAGCAGTCCAAGCACAATGGAATTTGAATTGCTAGAAGAAAAAAAAGTATGAAAAAAAAAACTAGTTTTTGTCTTACTTTCCTCAACCAGTTGCTAAAAAAGTAACCAAGCTAGTAGATTTCAATCCTCAAAACATAAAAGTCAAAACTTGCCACTAGAATTAAGCAATTCCCCTGAAAAAATTAGTTTTGTGCTTTGACACTGCTGATATCCATTTTCAGTCTTTGCTTACATATCAATGGAGAACTAGGTTTAAATATCAATGCATCAAAACTTGCTCAAAATTATAACAGAATGAAGAAACATAAAAAAAATTTAAAATGAAGTAAAAAAAAAGAAAAAAGGGTGAGGGGATGAACAGAGACTTTACCATCCAATGAGATAACCAAAGGCCAAGAAAAAAGTGATGGCCCCGCAATAAGCGCGGCTAACGAGCATCGAAACGTATCCCAAGAGCATGGGAACCAAAAAGTGGAGATTCGACGAAAACCCAAAAGACAAGTAAGAGAGCCCGGCGCCGGTCACGGCGGCGTAGACGTGCCTCCCGGCTGCGCCGCCGGGTAGAAACCGATGAAGCAAACTCACCGGAATAGTGGCAGCGAAGCACAGCAGGAATCTGAGCACCGGCACGGACACTCCGATCGCCGACGCCATGGATTCCATCTCCGGCAACCCCATATCTTCAGATGAACACGGATCTCGATTCCAAGAAGAATGGGAAAATTGAGAAATTGACCAGAATCAAGAGGTGCAATTGTTGTGGCATATGGCCATCGATCATTGGGTACCCTAATTCGGATTTCCGTACTCCATTTTTAGGGGGCAGTCGGAATTTGCTACGTGAAATCTGGCAACAAATGTACCATACCAAATTGATGACGGGTCGGAGATGATCGTAGTACACCCAGGACTGTACTTGATGCCCTCATTGGGCCACCGGTAAGCCCAAAACCACGTCATTGGGCCACTGGTGAGCCCAATGTCACGTCATTGACACATCTAGACATTAATGCTTAATTGTGTTTGTATTGACCTCTTAGTGTGTATTTAGTGTAAAAATTATAGAGTCTCCCTAGCATTTTTGTTATAGCATTATCAATCAGATAGCGGCATAGCGCTATCATGTCTAGCTTGCTCTTTTAATGAGTTTTTTCTCTAATCGTGTAGTTCAGCAGTTATTTTGTCATAAAAATGATCTTCATCTCTTTACTTATTTAGGTGACATCATTGATGATTGCAAGTGCAACAACAACCCAGTTGAATCCCACTACAGTAGGGTTTGGAGAGGGTGTGTGTACGCAGACCTTGCCCCTACTCGAAAGTAGGGAGGCTGTTTCCAAGAGACCCCCGGCTCAACCTGCACAAAAAATATGGTAGGGAACACAATATAATAGGATATAACAAGATAAAGCACCAAGTACAATGAAATGAAAGTCCAGCCAGCAAAAGTAGAAGATACCAAACAAACACAACACACTACAAAAAACCTCTGCAGCACTGAGCTCCTAACAAGCTACTCTAATCCTAGTCCTCCAAAGGTTCCTATCTAAGGCCATATTTTCAGTCAAGGTGAGAAGTCCTAAATCCTGCCTAATCACCTCCTTCCAATTCTTCCTAGGTCTACCCCTTCCCCTACTTCCCCCGATAACCGTGATCCTCTCGCACCTCCGCACAGGGGCATCAGCATCCCGCCGTCTCACATGCCCAAACCATCTCAACCTCGCTTCCCGCAACTTATCTTCCACCGGCGCCATGCCTACCTGACGTCGGATAACTTCGTTCGAAATCCTATCCAACCTTGTCTTACCACACATCCATCTTAACATCTGCATCTCCGTCGGCGCCATGCCTACCTGATGATTGCAAGTGCATTTATGATTATGTTTGACTCTATTTCTGTTTATTTTGTTTTTCGTTCGTCAAATATTTTAACTCATGCTAGAAGAAGCAGTGGTTCTCTTGTTGTTTGGAACTCGATTCCCCGGAGTTTCTTCTGTCTTTGATGGATTAATGGTATGCTTTTTCCACCCTAAGAAAATTAGTTTAAATGAACAAATTTCAGTTAATTCAACATAACTCAATTCAAATATAGTCATAACATTAACTAAAAATGTGGAACTTAATTAAGTTGATGGAATTGAACTGGAATAATACGTTTTTAAAAAAGGAAATGCAAATTGTAAAATTTATTTTTAAATGCTCCAAATTTAAAAAAAGTAAATGTGTAAAGTTCTTCCATAGAAGAGGGATGACTTTTTATAAGATTCCCTAAAACGAAATACTCTAATAAAGTATCAGAGCTTATTTTAGAACAAAAACATATTATAAAAATGTTTAAACACTTGAAAACATATGAAATGTAAGTTTAAAATATGAATATTTTTTGAATGAAATTTAATTTTATTTATTATAGAAAATAACGTGATAGTTATTTATTTATTTTTACATTATGTGATAGTTATACAGAGTATTAAAATGTTCTAATCAAATAATCAGTATTTAAAGTGGCATACTCCTTCAAAAAAAAAGTGGCGTACCAGTTACCCCTACTTTGGGCAAGTCCAAATTAGTTTTCATGTTTTTGGCAGAGTTATTTCACCCATATTTTCATTTGGAGGAGTATATATACTGTACTAGCTAGGCACACACTTTGTGTGTGAGTGCCCATATAAGTATATGATTATCACATATAAGTGTTATACCCATATTATATTATCACAAAGATAGGGAGTGTTTTACAAAAAATGAAGTGATCACCCACACTTCATTTATGATATTGGGCTAACTTAAGAGTTCTACTATGTAACAAACTGACATAAAGCCTCCTACTGAGTTGGGGTAGTTATATTTTACAAGAACAGTAGGAATAGAGGTTAGGGTCAAAAAAGTTTTCAAGGTCCGTAAACATTAGCTAGGTCTGTTTTTTGTGGGCTTCCTCCTCAACTTTCATCTTTCTCTTTAGACTTGGTGCGCTTCTTTGCTTCGGAGAGAGACTGTAGAGGGTTTGTAGTGAGTACGTGTTTGTTGTAGTTGTTTTGTATGTGCCTGAACTTGGTTTGATTGCAGCAATGATAGTGACTGATAGAAGCGCCTTGTTTAGATTCACAGAGTTGATCGTCTCCAACGGTGAATTCCACTCAAGTGTCTTTAGTATTTTCTGGAGCTCCTTGGTGAAGAGGGTCACGTGTATAGCATGGCTGCCGTCATGTACTTCAGCTGTCACTCTGAATCTGCGTTGATTTGCAGGGAGAAAGTGTTCGTATATCAGAACATATTAAAGATTAGTCATTTTTTGAAAGAAAATGGAAATAGACAGGTAACCTCTTTATCGTAGACGCCTCTTTGTCTCCACATTGCATGCATTCAAAGGTGATACCTTCTCTGCAGTGCACCTTCCGATTACAGGTGGTGCATGGTGCGGTGGGCGGTGAAAATGGCCAAACACAGAGACGAAAAGAGATACTGTAAGAATACGGAGAAAAAAAGAGTCATACAGTGATTGCAGAAGAAGCATTCATGAGGAAGATAAGAACTTTAAGGTACCCAAATCAACAACACTAACTATGCTTTGGGGGAACAGAGCTAAGAAGGAAGGAGAAATAACTTTTCCGAAATGGGAGGACAACTTTTCAATCTTCATTACGAAATTTACCCTTTCATTCTTTTTTCAAGTTTTAAAATTGAGCAATGATTATAGAGTAAATCTATACGAGTATAAGTAAATTTTTTATCCAATGTTTCTTTATTCCTTTCGTATTTTTCCTCAATCCAACCATGAACAATCTAAAATAATGTTTTTAGTAAAAAAGTGAACAACAAAAGCTCTTTTTCCAATATGCAGTAAATAAAACAGCAGCTGAAATACAAAAAATAATCAATTCAAATTTTAGAAAAATAAAAACACTAAACACCAACCAAATCCAAAAGTAAAAGTGACATACACATAGTCATGCGGTATATAGCAATCTTAAGCAATAGAAATTTTAAATTATAGAAGCTAGGCACCCAAAATTCAAATGGAGTAATTATTTTTATTTTTTGAAGTGGGTGAAGTTTCTAGGAATTACGAGAATTTAACAAACCGGAAAAAAAGTTCATTTTTAATGGGAAAAATGACACTTTTGGGGGATGTTTTTGAATCTTAATGGATGATTTTCATGAGAAATTTGGTACTTTAAGTGCTGATTTTCAAAGACAATTCAAATTTTGAAGTTAATTTCCAAGCAAATAGCACACCTTTCAAAAGTATCAATACTGTCACATGAATCGTAAATGCATGAACATGATGTACCAAAAACTTTGAAAGTAGGTCAAATAAGCAAGAAATAGATGGGCTTTATATCTTCATACCAGCAACCAGAGTAAGAGATTCCATTTAAGTTATTTAGAAAAATGAATGAGGGGATGGAGTAAACAGACTAAAAATGAAACAACAAAATAAAGGAAGATGAAACAAGAATGAGATATACTGAAGGTCTACTAAGACAATGTTTAGTTCTAGAAAATTGGGAGAAAACAAAAGAACTACAACAAAATAAATGGAGATGAAAGGAGTCCAGTGCTTAGGCCTCATATTAATGTCATCTAGCCATTACTAAAAAGGCATAAACAAATTTTATCTATAGAAGTGGGTAGAGTTCCAGCGAATTCCTAAGTTTTCTAACACAGATTGCTGTGAACTTGAACTTTAAAAAATTTGAATAATCCCAAATTTTTTTGAGGCCTAAAGCTCGGAATTTGAAGTCTTAAAAATTGAATAAGTGTATTTAAAATTGGCTGAATTTCGAAATGGAGTGAATTATAAAACTCTTGAACTTCTAGAAGAGGATGAACTTTAATTGGGTTTCATTTTTTTGCAGCCACAAAAAGGTGTGAAATTGATGAATCTGAAATTGGAAGTAAAGAAAAAGCTGTGAAATTGAAGACAAAGCTGTGAAATTGGAAGAATTCCCAAAGAGCTCAGCCTTTCTCGAAATCAAAATTTGGGAAAAATGGATGCAACTCAGTAAAGAAGAGTGAGCAGAGGGAGGAAGAATACCTGCAAAGTTGAAGCAAGAATAGCCGCACCGGAAGAAGAAACTGGCTGAAACCGTGAAAACCATTCTTTTCTATAATACTCCGTTGTAGAGAGGCTTGGATCTTGGGGCGGTGGGCGGCTAGAATGGCCAATCCGTTTCATGGTTCGTGCTAAACACAGGGAGAAGATGGAAATGAATAGTAAATATACGATAAACAGTAGACGCGTTAGAAAATAAACGGAAAAACGCCCAAGATAACAAATTGCTTACTAAATACTCCTTCCGTCACATAAAATATTGTATATTTTTATAGTATTTGGTCAAAAAATTACATACTTTGACTCCAAATTGTGAGAGAAGTATATTAAATTATAATATAAATTCAATATAAATAAGTTCCTCTTAGATCTAGTTTTGATATATCAAATTTTTATAATATTTCTTTATTTAGATTATTTATGATCAAAGTGTGTAATTGTTTGATAAAAAATATTACAAAATGGGCAATGCTTTGTAGGACGGAGGGAGTTAATTTTATGTGTTCAATATGTTATGAGTAAAAATGGGTATTAAACAAGTCAGAATTAGTTACACTAATTACATCTTTGTATAAATAGTTATATAATATACAGAGTATTATTCTTTATTATATATTCTCCCCCTTCCATTTTATATGATGTGAAATTTACACTAAATAGCATTAAAATATACTCCGTATGTTTTTTCTCAATATAGCACTTAAATTTTTTAATTTCCTAAATAGTACTTAAATATTGTCTAGTAGCGATAACAATGTCCAATGACGGTGGACATTTAGTTTGAACAATGTCATGTGGCTGTGAATATTTAATTGAACAATGACTAGTGGACATTGAACAATGACACTAGACTGAGAAATAAAAACATATGATACTACATTGGAAAGTCATTATATTTTAGTACTATTTAGGTAAATTTCCCTTTAAATGATTGTTTCAGTTTATGTTGTTTAATTGAAGTTATTTTCCACTCAATTTTGAAAACAGTTGGGGTAGAATTAAAAGCTCACGTTTTCATATTTAAAACCCAAAAGGAGGAAGGCAAATTAGAGTCGTAGAAGAGGGATACGATTGTTTCAATTAGATGACAATGCTTTCGATCCACGACTTCATTCTGCTCAGGAGTGTAAGGACAAGAGGTGCGGTGAAGGATTACTAAATTTTGGAGAAAAAGTTCAAAAGGAGTGTTCACAAATTCTTTTCCATGGTCATTTTGAAAAATCCAAACGTTAGAATTGAATTGAGTTTTAACCATTTTTAAAAGCAAGCAAAAACATAATAAGCACTTGTATTTTAGTGGGTAAAAACATAAAGCCATGTGGATCTGCTAAAATCATCGTTGAAAGAGATGAAATAATGAAAACCACTAACAACAGCAATAGAAGTTAAACCCAGAATATCAAAATGAATTAAATTAAATGGTGTAATGGCATTTTGTTTAGAGAACTCAAAAGATAAACAACAAGACTTGAAGACAAGACATGACTCACAATGCAATGATTCTGGAAATTTAAACCCTATGGATGACAAGATAGATTTGGCAATAGTTCATGCTCACAGAGATCCTTGTACGGCACCTGGTTGGTGGTATTGTTTACTTTATGAAAATCATTGGCATTAAAAATAAATGCACAATTAATGTCTTCTGAAAATGGCCGGTGAACAGATAGTAATATAATATACTCCCTCCATTCCATATTAACTGTCTAATAACACTTTCTTGATAAATTGAAAAATGGATGAATGTAGACATAAAGTATGTCTACATTCATCCATTCTTCAATGTATCAAGAAAGTGTTATTAGACAGTTAATATGGAATGGAGGGAGTATTATGCTTCTAGTCACTCTATTGCCTGGATCGGCCATTGGCTGTGAAAAAATATACTTGTACTCCGTATTATTGTTCTTAATTGGGCAAGGATGATAAACTTATATAGCAAAACACACCAAAGTATGATCAGAATGATTTTTATATGAAAAAAATGGGAAAATCAGGTGTAATTTTTGAAAGTAATGTTAAGATGCCTTCACTGAGTCACTCAACAATCTTCACATATCTATAGGTTATGGAAGAGTTGATTATTTTCCACTTGACTTTTTTTTACTTTGAATTTGACTTTGGATTATTTTTGTTAGTTAGTCGCAAGAATGCTGAAGACTTTTGTGTGAAGATTGACTTTGTTAAATGAATATTGATTAGGATAAAAGAGGAGGTAATCCCCACCCCCACACATGGAAATAAATTGATCTTTCTGGAAAATTCATAATCAACACATTGTTTTCCCCCATTTTACTACTAATTTATTTCTCTATTATCTCTCCCTCCAAGCTCGAAAAAAGAATTTCCACTTGTCTTAGTCATCACTCATCCGTGCATAAAAAAAAATATTTATTCTTTTCTTGGAAAATACATTAGAGAAATGCAGGATATCACCAAATAGTATACTCCAAATGTACACCATGCTAGGGATAACAGACATTTTTATTCATTTTTTCTTAATTTTTTAACGCTAAAAAGTATGATACCTCTGTCTCTAAAAGATTACCACAGTTTGACTTTTTGGTCAGATTGTGGCTCTCTTTGACAACAAATTAAATATAATTTAAAATAACTAAATGTTACAAAAAAATTGATATTTCAAAAACTGTATTTTAAAATAAATCTAATTTACAAAATTTAAATTATAACTAATTATACTTTTCTCATAATTCGCGGCCAAAAGTTGCTACAGTTTTATCATAGCCTTGAAGTTTCAAAAAATACAATTTCTAATAGATTATGTTTCGTTATGGTTACAAACAAAAACTAAGGTTATTCATTATCATTTATTGAATTATTTTTTCCAAGTTGGTATTTACTTACCGTTAATTTTACATTGTTGTTTCGCGAGGAAGTGTAAAGATAGAGTTGAAAATATTAGTCTTCAACAAACCCATGGCCAACAGAACCCAAATGAGATAAAAAAAACATGTTGATTTTCTAAGTAAATTTTCTCGTGGTTAGCAACATTGCCTCTTCTACCTTCAAAACTATTTGGCCAACAAAACAATCATTATCCCTTAGTTTAATAAGAGGATATACATCTCTAAGTTCCCACGAGCATATTTCTCCTAGCCCATCCAAGCACAACAATATTGGCTAATCGTACAGTAGATCTCCCTTCAAGTAGATTTTTTAGAAAGTTCACATATTGGAGCTAGGTAACTTCTTGTAATGGACTACATGCTCACCGGCCAAAAGTATATAATAAACAAACCAGGTAGGACTTAACAACCGGAAATATTGTTCATTTAATAAGTGATACTACATTATGAATTTTCAAATGTATATAGTAGAATTTTTAGTAACGAATGTTATACTATGTATGACTTATCATTACTTTAGTTGTTAAGGGTTACATTTTATTCTATTCAATTTTTTTAAAAACGTTGTTGCGAAAAAAATTGCAAGATCAGAAAAAAATTTATTTGACCCGTGCATATCACGAGCTAAAATACTAGTTAAAGATAATATGATCGTGGGTTCACAAATTAGTGATATGATTAATGTAATTAGTGGATGGACTTATCAATTAAAAGAAGGTAAGGAAGACCATAACTAGAACCTACTGCGTGGCCCCAAAAAATGTAGAGACATATTTGGTAATTTCATGGTTATGATCGATTACAGAAGTGCATTCCACAACAATAGCACCAATAACAACAACAACAACAAAGTGGGTGAACAAATGAGATTCTTATTTATAGAGAGGTTAATAATAAGAAATCTGAAAATCAGATGAGATTCTTATTACCTAGTCGTATCATGTGATACTTGTAACGCTATTTTTTGGGTAAATAGAAAAAACGTCAATTTTCAATACATATTGATGGTGTAAATTATCGATTAATATATCATTTTTAGCTGGGGAAAAATGATAAACTAGTCTGAAAAATACACCAAAATATTAACACAAGAATTTTGACGTGGAAACTCAATCGAGAGAAAACCACGGGCCTTTTTTTGGCAGTACCTTGCCAACGAGGAATTTTTATTAATATCGGGAGTGTGTAAGCCATTGATAGAAGCTTGGAACTTCTTTGAAGAAATACGTAAAATACATACTATTCTAGAGAGAGAAAGTTATTTGGCAAGGAGAGGGAATGGATTGGCCTCCTCAAAATTAAAGATAACCCCTTCTTTTATACTCCCTCCGTCCACAAATAAACTTTACATTGCGCGTTACGATGTTTGACTGAAGTTATTTTCAAATCATTTTATATGAAAAATTGTGTAGAATTGAAAAATAAAAATTACATATTAAAAAACTATATCAAAAAATCTACAAAACTAGAGGTGACATGACTATATTATTTTATCAAATGGGTGACGAAAATAGGCTAAGAAAGTGAATAAAGTTTGACCATGTAAATAGTGAATGTAAAATTTATTTGTGGACGGAGGGAGTAGGAAGGAGTGGAGCATCTTTGGAAGAATATTCTCTTAATACTCATTTTACTAAACAAGCTCGGTTTGATTTTTCTTCGTAAATAATTGGGAAATGTGAGTCGAACCACATACTATTTCCCATCACGAAGTCCTCCACTTTTTTAAGTTGTGAGAATCATCAACTTAAGAAAGTAAATAAGTCCTCTAAGTGCTATCTTCAGTTTTCGTACTTTGCATTCTTGACTGATTGATATTGCTAGTCCTCTGAGTCTTCATTAATTATCTAATTTCTTGAATCAGATATTTTTCCTGCAAAAAATAATGCGTACAACATTTTTTTTACCGGCCAATGTCGTGCTCAAATAATTATTATCTTTATCGAGGAGCTCGGTGTTAGGGTGATTAAAATATGCATGAATAAATATCGTAACGAGAGCGATGTCAGTTCGATAGAGCAACGATGCTTTGAGTAGTTATACGATGGCGGAGTTAGCACGATGAAGCGGCGGTGCTTCAAGTAGTTATTTCGTCGAGACCAATGTTAGTACGAATCATACAAACGATGTGTGACGAAATTAGTATACTGATGACAACGATGTTAGTTAATAAGAATTGAATATGATGTGGTAGCTTTAATTTGTTGAAGATCAGTGTTAGCCCGGCTGACTGATGTAAATATCTTCATGTCTCGCAGGGCCATCTTCGATAAAAGTGCCTCAAATAGAGGGCTTAAATGAACCATACATCCCGAATATAAGCTCGGGTCACTTTTTTTCTAAAACAAATGTGTGAATGGTGTACTCAATTCGATTGGGCTCAAGATTATTGGAAAATATGTTCAAGACCGGTGTGAGACCAGTGTACCAGTTCGACTGGGTCACATATTTTATTTATTATACTGAGCAAGACCGGTGTAGTAACCAGTGTGCCAGGCCGAGCATGTGTCTTAGTCTTCCTCTAAGATAATGCTGCTGGTCGCATCAGATCAAGATTGGAGAATTAACCATGTCGGATGGTTTTGAGCCCTCTCCAAGGCTCAAAATGCACCCTTCTTCCAATGTCCCTCTTCCAGGTGATTAAATCTTTTAATGGCCCTTTGATGTTTACTATCGTGGGGTAAAAGGCCTTAGCTCACCCCCCGTTCAAGTCTTCCCTGAGAAGGGGGAATCCGACCTGGCCGGAGTAAGATGCATTGCGATGAATGATCCTTTTCTATTTCTTTAAATGGATATCTTTTAACTCCGAATCAGTTTGATGTTTCTGACTGACTCTCCGGTCCCAGTCAAACCTCATGAGTCCGTGTAAGTACGGTTTCGAACCTTCTTCTAGGTCCAGCCTAATTGCAGGCATTCCCTTATCCAGGGCCCCTCTTTTGGGTTTTTTATATATACTGAACAAAATCAGTGTAGTAACCAACGTACCAAGCTCGGCTTGTGTCTCAGTCTTCCTTCCGAATTCGTCCAAAACGCATGTGCAAATCCCTCAAATTATTGCTCCATAATGCTAACTTATTCCACCAATTGTTGGTGGTGGGCCCCAATGAGAAATAAGTGGGGAACTTATTTTTTCCCTCCTCCGTAATATTCAATGCACATTTCCCATGATCAATTGGTGGGCCCCTCCCATGCATTTCACTTATTTATAGAGTACTCCCTATATTTTTGCATGTGTCTTCTCCATGATGGAAAAAGGCAAATGACGCATGAAGAGTAAAGATTCCGGACCCCACCCCGTTGTATAAATACGAATGGAGCATTGCAAAAATAGATATGCCCATTCTAATAAATCATGGGAGATATTAGCCCCCCACCTTGTGATACATGAGAATCAATCCATCGTGGACTGCACTCATTTTTTCAAGTTCTCCATTTCTTCTTCATTTGTAATTTTCCTCACCTTTTTATAGCAAAGTCTATGAGCTCACTAATACTTCCTCCCTCCCACTATATTTGTCCACTTTCATTTTTGCACACCATCCAATACACTTTTTTAATTCATTTTATCTTGTAATTTGTATATTAAAAAATTATAAAAATTATATATTAATAATCTATATGTTAAGACAAATCAAACAAGATCACGCATGACTATATTTAGGCTTACACATTGAGAGAATTTGATGAATCAAAATACTTAGATGAACAGTTCCAAAAGTCAAAAGTGGACGAATATAGTGGGACGGAGGGAGTAATAAATATGGAGTAGTTTTTATCTCCCTCTATTGCAAATGTTGTGGCAACGGAGGATCGAGATTCAATATTAGGGTTGACAATGCTGAGTGTAGGTAAGGGCTACATCGGATTTGAAAATGGCCGTGAACATTTCTCCTCACGGCAACAGATGTCTCTAATCGGGGAAAGAAACCGGAAGTTGATGGAAGACTTAGACCATGGAAAAATCGACCTGGTCCTTCTTCGTGTTGTTTCATCCAAGTAAAAGATTGAGCACATCTAGAGGGGAGGATCCTCCCAAGTCGGTTGTGTAAAGTCACAACTCAACAGCAACAACGACGACATATCGAAGCAATCGTAGCAGTGGCAAGCTTCTGCTTCCCACGACGGTGTTGATGGCTATAGTGATGTTGGCGGATTTGAGCAACCTCGTAACAACAAATCTAAACTTCGGCTCTAGAACCATGGCAGTGGCTGATTCGGCACAAAGCAGATGAGCGGCCGTAGGGTGATGCCTTTGGCCGTAAGGGAGGCGGCAAATCGGAATGCTTCAGAGGGGGTATGGCCAAAGGCATCATCTTACGGCCGTAGATCTGTCACCTACGCCACCCAAGTTAGATCCATCTTCTCCCGCTCAAGAACATCGTTTTAGCAAACCACTATGGTCGGTAAACCATGAAATACCAACGACAACTGCTCGAGGGCCTGAAGCAGATTCGCCCCCACTTATCCTATTTGCCTCCAATTGGGACAACCTAGTTGTGGCCAAGTCGGGCTGCGACAATAATTACTATGGCACCAGCAGCTATGAGCAAACGGCAGATCTATTGTGGAGGAAAACATGCCTCCATTTTGGGTTTTTTCCCGGATGAACCACATGAAGAAACTAAAAAAATATGGCCTTTGGCTCAGGTTCCACGGTCGGCACCAAAATGATGGTGTAAATTATTGACCGGTATATCATTTTTAGCTGGGCAAAAACGATAAACTAGTCTGAAAAATACACCAAAATATAAACAAGAGGATTTTGACGTGGAAACCCAATCGGGAGAAAACCACGGGTCTTTTTTGGCGGTATCTTGCCAACGGGGGATTTTTATTAATATCGAGAGTGTGTCTACGGTACATGATTTGGTCTCGAAAGCCATTAATAGAAGCTTGAAGCTTCTTTGAAGAAATAAAAATACATGCTATTCTAGAGAGAGAAAGTAATTTAACAAGGAGAGGGAATTGATTGACCTCCTCAACATTGAAGGTAACCCCTTCTTTTATAGGAAGAAGAGGAGCATATTCGGAGGAATATTCTTTTATTCTTTCATTTTACTAACCATGTCCGGTTTGATTTTTCTTCGTAAATAATTAGAAAATGTGAGACGAGCCACGTATTATTTCTCATCACATACTTCCTCCGTCCCGGAAAACATGGGAGTTTTGGTTTTGTAGAGGGATTTAAGGGGAGTGTATTTTGGTATTAAATTTCTAAAAATGTCATTTGATGTGATGGGTAAAATTATGATTTGATGGGTAGATTATTAGTAAAAAGGTATGATGTGATAGGTAGGGTATGAAAAAATAAGGAGTAAAAGTGACTTTTTAATAGAAATGAAAAATGTTTTTTGGGACGGATGAAAAAAGAAAGGAGAAATATTTTTTGGGACGGAGGGAGTATTAATTTACCTTGCCCAATTAGTTTTTTAAGTCTATATTAAAAAGTCAAAATAAAAGTGATTAAAATTCAATTTTTTAATCGGTTTTTTTTGTTGTACGGTCTGTTTTTGATTTTGCTTCGGTCGATTTTAGTTTAAGACCAACCCGATTCGATCTGTTTTCAACCATTACCAATCCATGCTCAGTCCTCCTAGTTGGGTCAAGTCCAAAAACTCGCTCGCAATATCCATTATCCAATCCAGATGGGAGGCATACCGATCTCAATTGTTGTTGATTAGGGATCCCGATCTGAATTGCCGACGGCGACGATCTCGATCCTCTTCCGATAGCTAGCCGACGTTCGAGTCGATGGAAAGCCTGGAAATATTGAGGGAAGCACTGGATCGGTGGCGTTATTTTGCATACTACTTGCAATTGGACAACCTCAAGTCAAGAACAACAACTCTCAGCCAATCTTACATGGAAACGTTTGCGCTTGGCTGCATTCAGATGGAGCGATGGCTGAAGGAGTAAGGGTATATATTCTGTGTGTGTGTGTGTGTGTTTATGTGTTCACCTGCTGAAGATCTCGTAATTTGATTTTTGTATGAAACTCTTTGCTTTTGTTTGGTTGCTATCGCCCAGGGTTAGACGAACTTGGGGTAATTATTATTTAATGCTCCAATGTGTCAACAATCATCAAGAAGATTCTCTTTTTCGTTTGTTTGAACTGGGGAGGAATGATTTGGGGGTGGGGGTATTTTGGTATCTGTAATATAAACATACTCTTTACATACTTTGAATCCTCAAACATAATATAATCACAAATAGATGTAAGGCGCAACATATGTAATTAAAATGTTAATATAAATAGATAACAAATAGACTTGAAGAATGAAATATTTTTTTTTAAAAAAAATTAAACCTACTGTGAGTAGCTAGTAAGGCGATGCCTTGGCATGAGGCGAAGATAAGACGACATAAGGCGAGTGCCTTAACGCCTAGAGGTTTTCTGGGCGAGGCAGACATGAAAGGCGTCCAAGGGATAGCACCTTATCCCCTAAGCAACGCCTTAACAACTATGGTTCTGGGTTGAATGGTAAGTAACTCTACAAATACATGGCTATTTGCCTCCAAAATTTCTCTTTCAGGAAAATGCCATTGTTATGAAAGGTGTTGCCTAACATGACTGTGTGTGTTCGTGTGTGCATGTGTATGTCATGTCGTGTGTGTTCTAAAGTTGTTAGTTGTACATCACTCTTGATTTTTGTGTTTAGGTGTCCGTAATACTCTTTCACTTTGTTTGGTTGCTTAATCATGTTTCCACTGAGTCGCTCTCTCCAAAAGTTTGCTTGGGTAAAAAGTGTTTGGGTCAAATACTTTTGTGTTTTTCCCTAACTTTAAGCGGTTACATCCACGATAATCTAACTTGCATACACTTTCAGGACTACATAGAGTTAGCTCCAACTGCTTAATTATTATTCTTTTCAATTATACTATCAGTAGTCCCTTTGCCTTTTCTTGGACGTGTAATTCTACATTTGCACCATTTGTTCTTTAATTTTCTGCAGTTCGCTTTGGGAGTTGGATCCACCACCATTGAATGGTGCAAAACAATATAGTCTGGATGATTTGAAAGAGATGACTGATAACTTTAGTTCGAAATACTTAATTAAGAAGACTATGCATGGGAGATTGTTCCGAGGCTTTAGTGACAATCGTGAAGTGACCATCAAAACCTGGGATTTCTTTTGTCCCGATAAGCGTGTTTATGAGGACCACCCTATGAGATTCTGTGTATGTTTTGTTAGCTCGCTGCTGTTGGATTTATATATATTTCCTCTTAATATTTTTATTATTTGCTTTTGGTAAATGCTGCAGAATGAGCTTGATATACTGATCGATGAAAATCCACATCCGACTTTGATGAAGTTGAAGGGCTTCTGTTTTAAACATATACTTGCAGTTGTGTATGATGAAAAACCAACTAATTTTTTATCAGAGGAGCTCTATGCTGGTATCTAAGTTTAGTTTTCATCACAATCGTTTATGACTTGATTTTATGGTTTTCCCTTTGATGTGTCATTATTTTGAGCAGGTAAGAACTTTGGGTTGGATGCTAGAATGGAGGTGGCGACTCAACTTGCAAGCCTCTTCATTTGGTTGCATGATAAAGGAATGACATTTGGTGATGTTGACACTTCTACCATAATAATTGATAACGTAAGTAGTTTTATTTTTATGCTCCGGGGAAAATCTATCTCTATGTTCCCAAATCTCCAGAAGAGCTGTCTCAAGGCAAATCTACAGAGTAGTCCTTGGCATCCACCTGGCAAATATGAAAAAAAGGTATAAAGTTAAAAAAATAAAAATTATATAGTAAAATACTGTGTCAAAATATTTACAAAATTAGTGGTGACATGATTATTTTATTTTATCAAATGACTGCGGAAAATAGAGAAAGTAAATAAAGTTTGACTATGTGAATAGTAAACAACATTAATTTGAGACGGAGAAAGTATTTATTATCATTGTTATTTATTGCATCAAAATTGGGTGAGATCTAAGGGTCACGATTGCATCAAAATTAGGTGCACCAACATTAATTTGGGACGGAGAAAGTATTTATTTATTTATTTAGTTCGTGCAACAATACTTGCAAAACAATAGTTACAAACAAGTAAAAGAAAAATGCCAATAGTCCGGCCCAGTAATTTGCCCTATTCATGAGAGGGTGTCGTCTTTGGTAATTACCTGCGCTCTTCGTTACATTGACGAGGGTAAGTCTTGTTTCGATCAACGGCTCTTTTTCGCTCTTGTCTTGAAGGTAATATTTTGCCTCCTACTCTGCCTCATCTCTGGTCTGTGATGTTTTTTCCCTCAACTCTAACCCCTCAGTTTGAGGATTTTTGTATTTTAAACTTTTGAAGCTCAATAGAAAAAGTTCAAAAAAAAGGGTTATTTCTGAAAAGCTTTAGGGATAGAGGTAGGGGAAGAAAAATAGTTTGCATATTCTACGGTTTTGCTATTACATGTATTTGCATTTGCAGATAAATCATGGAAAATAGAATCCCAAACAGCTTAGACGAAGTGCGTGGTACTTTAGAGAAGATTGGAATTGGGGAACCTGTAAAACCCAAGTAATGTTTTAATATTTGGATGAAAGTGCAACTCCTTTTGTTTTTTTTAAAATGCCTCAAATTTGTAATTGAGATCTATCATGAAATGCAGGGAAAATTTTCTCCAGATTTTAGGTATTACACAAGCAGAAAGTGAGCTGCCATCTTTTGATCCTCCCTCCCTGGAAATGTTATGCTACTTGTGGCTTTCAGAAACTTCACTTGGGATCCCATTCGAGTGGGAGGTGGTAGGAGACCATAGTGGTAGGATGTTATTATTGGTCATGGTTTAAAAGTTCAGTTCTAAAAGAAATCGTTTATATCTTTCTGCACAGTAAAGCTAGATGATCTTCTATTATATAAACAAATACGGAGTATGATATATGGATTTATACCTGTGTCTTAGGGGCTGTTTGTTTCAGCCTCTTAATGGTTCAGATGTCTGAATGGTTCAGCACTTAATGATTCAGACTGTTTGTTTCAGCCTCTTAATAGTTCAGATGTCTGAATGGTTAAGAGATTTGCCTCTGAATGGTTAACTATTATACAGAGTCTGAATGGTTAAGATCTCTTATCTGAATTGATCAGACATTTGCCTCTGAATAGTTAAGCAATATACTAGCTCTTAATGGTTCAGACCTCTTACTGGTTCAGCACTTAATGGTTCAGACCTCTTACTGGTTCAGCACTTACTTATTCAGAAGTTGCCAAACAGCCCCTTAGTGTTGTATTCGGTGACTGCCATATATATATATATATATATATATATACACACACACACACACACACATATATATATATATAATATAATACTACCTCGGTCCCAGAGTATTTGTCCACTTTCATTTTTACACACCATCCAATACACTTCTTTAATCCATTTTATCTTGTAATTTGTATGTTAAAAAATTATAGAAATTATATACGGAGTATTAATAATCTATATGTTAAGACAAATCAAACAAGATCACACATGACTATGTTTAGGCTTACACATTGAGAGAATTTGATGAGTCAAAGTGATTAGATGAACAGTTCCAAAAGTCAAAAGTAGACGAATATTCCGGGCCGGAGGGAGTAATATATAATATATATAATACTCCCTCCGTCCCGTGAAACATGGGACATTTGCTTTTTAGGAGGGATTTAAGAGAGTGTATTTTGGTATTGAATTTCCAAAAATGTCCTTTGATGTGATGGGTAAAAGTATGATTTGATGGATAGATTATTAGTAAAAAGGTATGATGTGATAGTTAGAGTATGAAAAAGTAAGGGGTAAAAGTGACTTTTTAATAGAAATGAGAAGTGTTTTGTGGGACGGATAAAAAAAGAAAGGGGAAATGTTTCACGGGACGGAGGTAGTATAATATTAAATTTCTCCTAGGGTTGGTACAATTGAAATTAAAGCAAAACAATGAAGGGAACAAAGGGGACTTCAAATTATAGAGAGAGACGGACTGATAGAAAGCAAAACAATTATTCGTACCTGCTGTGGTAAGGTCGGCGACGCACTGACAGAGAGCTGGAGAGAGACGGATCTGAACTGAACAAAGTTATTCCGTAATTTTGAGGGTTAAATGATGAAGAAAGGTGAGTCTTTGATTTAAAATTAGTGGAGATGGAGGGTATAGATTAAAAGTGGCTTGGGAAGCCACTCAATTGGAGTGGCTGTGGAACGGCACCGATATAGGATAGGATAGTTCCTCATCTCCGTACACTACTTTTTTTTATGGAAAAAGCTATGTTTACACCGGTATGTATGGGGAGGGGGGATTGAAAGGTATTGGGGGAGGGTGATGAGGTAGGGGGTAGAAAGGTATTGGGGGGACGAGAGAGAGAGAGTCTCTAAAGAGGCTGCTTTGTATGACCTTCTCGTAGGGAAGAAGCTCTCGAAGAGGAAGCAGAAGGGGCAAGAAGGAGACGTCGTTGGGGATGAAGCGGTAGGAGATAGGAGTGCATCGGTGGAAGATTCAACTTGACAAAGAGCGCCTCCTTCGTCTTCTTCAATTTTTTGCACCCATCCGGCCACGGTAAAATAACAAATTAAAGATAATAATAAATAATTATGTTTTAATTTTAGAGGTTTTATTTTGTAAATCTAGATTCAATCGCTCAATCCTTCCCTTTTGAGAAATTAGCCTTTGTTTATGTGTTTTGTGAATCATTGTTTCTTGAACTTTTTCAATTGTTTATTTCCTTTTTGAATCTTTTTAGTTGCTAATTTTTCATTAATAACATGTTCTAATTAGGCATTTTTCATATTTATTACGAAATGTCTGTGTAGTACTTCTCACAGGTGTAAAATGTTTGTATTCTAATTAAGAGTATTCGATTTCAAAACTTGTTTTAAAATGTCTATGATGTGCTTCTTGCTTGCATAAAATGTCTGTATTTAAAAAAGAACTTGTTCTATTTCATAAATTATTTGAAAGTGTTTGTGAAGTGTTTGTTACTAGCATAGAATGTCTGTTTTCCAAATAAGGGTGCTCAATTTCAAAACTTGCTATGAAATGTCTCTTAAGAGCTTCATTGCTTTTTAGTGTGAAATGCATGTATCCTAATTAATAGTTTGCCTTATTTTAAAAGTTGCTTTGAAATGTATTTCGAGTATGTATTATTAGCTTAAAATGTATGTATTTCATTATCACCAATGTTTAAGGTTTGTCAGTCAATAAATCACCGGTGTTTTACATTGGTTCAATGGCACATGAGAAATATGAATTCAACTATCTAGAAAGTGTACATGATTTATGTTTGCTTCATAAACATTCTTTTTTGTGATAAATAATAATTGTGATTGAATTACTTTTCTTGAGCATACATGGAGCTCACAAATGTTTACTGTCTGTGAATTTTTAATCACAAACACTGTGTGTCTGTAATAACCGATACTACGTATTTGTAAATGCCTATATACAGATACTAAGTAAATTCTTCAGTTAAAACCGTTAACTGCCTGTAAAATTGAATCTCATAGTCATAGATAGTCAATATGCTGGTTGGAACGTATTGTTAGTTTTGATTTAAATTTGTTATTAATTTACCAATGCGTTAATTTACTTCTCATATATTTTTTTTAGTTTTTACAACATTAACAAGATGTGTTGAACTTGTGTGCTGAAAGGTTGCTTCTTGCAGACGATGGCCGAAGTTAATATTGGTGATGGCAAAGATGTAATCATCACATGTCACGTTAATTTACTGCTTTGTTTGTTTCTCATTCTTGAAAACAATATCTCATTGTGCTATATTATAACTTACACTTTATTGTAACTACATCTCCCCCTTTTTACTACATTTAATTCTTGGCTCTTTGTAGTATTATTTGTTATGTTTTATGGTCACATAGACAAAAACTGTCTTTATTTAATCAGAAATAGATGTTTATTGTCTATGTAACATGTGTTTAAATGAAATTCATCAAATATACCATGTAATGGAACATAAAGAACATTTCACAATTTCTCTATATTGTAAAAAAGAGTTACAATTAACATAGCTTAGTTACATAGACATAGACAGTCTATATATGTAATTCTTGATCAAAAACATTTTATCAAGTCTATCACAGACACTAGTTGTCTGTAATATCAGTGACACAGATTGTAGATGTCTATGTTAATGATAATTATACACAGAAAATCATACTCCATACCAAATACCAAGTATTCAAAATATAATATACCAACATACTATTCAAAAAAAAATAAATAAAAAGCCCTAAAAATTAGATTTTAATATGTATAATGGAGAGAATAAATTAGAAATTTGTACATTTCATGTCCCAAATAATGGTTTGGTTGATGGATAGCTACAACGACAATAGGTGAGAAATATCCAGCAATGGTAGGTGAGGAAACACCCTCAGGCGACAGCACCGGCAACGATTTAGAAGATACCCAACAACGGCGGTGCGCAGGGAAAGCAGGCAAGACGCGATGAATTTCCGACGGCAAGTTGTAGTGGTTTAGAAGACTAATAGTGTAAAAAAGAATGAGGCGAATTTGGTCACACAGACACTAAAAGTTTGTAATTATTCAAACACAAACATGTAATATATGTATTTAATGTATGAAAAGTGCACTTGTCAAATATACCAAATAATATTTCACAATTTTTTCTTGTATTGTAAAAATAAAGTAAATATGCATAAAGTAATGTTTGGTAAATAGACAATAAACGTTTGTAATTCATTAAAAAAATATTTATTGTGTGTGTAACCTGTATCAAAACTAATCAAACAAATATACACATAATGGAGCATAAAGAACATTTCACAATTTTCTCTAGATTGTAAAAAAATAAAACAACTATAATTACCACTGTTTTGTTACATAGACACTAAATATATGTAATTCTTGATACATAGACACTTATTATCTGTGTAACCTGGATGAAAATTTCACCCGTTAAATATGCAAAATAATAGAGTATCAAGAGCATTCACAAATTTAATTATGTTTAAAACAAAAGAAAAAACAACAATCAACGCTATTTAGTTACACAGACACTAAAATTCTGTAATTGTTTGAACACAGACATTCACAGACGCAGATTATGATGATGATGATGCCGCTCTTGGATGCTTCTGGGCGGCAATGGGGAACTCACGCCGTGCAACTTTTGGGCAGCGAAGAGGATGGGGCGGCAAAGATCGAGAATCCCAGGTTCAAATCCGTGATACCTCCTGAGTACTATGTAACATGTATATTTATCTCTACCCATTCTCCACCCACCCTTTAATTTTACTTTTCTTGCCTCCCTACCACATGTTTATGTAGGGGGGCATGGTTGGTAACAAGGGTGGGGGGCTTTTAGCATTTTTCAAAGTAAAAAGTACAGAGTATATACTATACAATCTTTCTTTTCATCTAATCAAAATCCAATCACTCACTTTTTTGAAACTTCTGAAGCTAAAATAATTTGGAACGGACGGAGTATTACAACATTATTAGAAAACCAAAATCAATAAACTAATATTTAAAAATATAAAAAAATTAGAGTATACAAGCATGTACAAAAGATGGAATTAATAAATTAATACCTATTTAAAATAAAATAAAATAATGAGAGAGAATGTCTCAGTAAGTAAAAAGAAACCCAATATTTAAGGCCTGTTCTTTAGGACTGTAAAAAAAGAGCTGGATGTTGGAAAAACTGGAAAGAACTGGAAAAAACTGGAAAAAACTGGAAGAAACTGGAAGAACTGGAAAAAACTGGAAAAAACTGGGAAAACTGGAAAACCTAAAAAAACTTTAAAAATATTTATTTTAAATTCTTGTTGTTATAAATTATTATTATTATTATTATTATTTTTATTATTATCATCATCATCATTATTATTATTATTATTATTATAATATCTGTTATAATAATAATAAAACTTGTTTTTTACATTTTTTATTATAAATAATTTTATAAAACTTTTTTGTTTACATTTTCTATTATAAACAATATATTTGTAATTATAATTTATATATTAAAAGATTTTGTTCTAAATATCATACATGTCACATAATCAAACCTATTGTTTCTTTCATGATTGACATTTTATTTTCATTGAATTCCTATTTTTGAAATTAAGACATAAAATTTTTTTGTTTATATTTTTTATGTTTTACTCATATTTTAG